TTATAGTCAGACATTTGCTTATCCTAGCATTCTGAATCGTAAAAATCCAACAAGCTTAAAACAAGTTATGAGGCAGCTATTCACGCAAATGCAATTAAAAATGTTTGCTGGTACTTAGATTTTTGCTCATAAATTCTTTCATAAACTTTCAAACAAGATAATAAAATTGCCCTGAGCTCTGCTGTTGCTCCTCTCCAGGCTGCTTGTAAACTCCTATTTGTTTAGATGCCTTCCCTACCTCAGTCGGCTACCTCTTTTTTTAGTTTCTTTCCCTCCTTTCCTTCTTCCCTCTTTTCTTTCTTTCTCCCTTTCCTTTCCCTCTTTATTCCTTCCCTTTTCCCCACTTCTTTTTCTTTCTTTCCTTCCCCTCCTGGGACAGGAGCAGCTCATGAGCACTGTGATGCAGGTCCTAACAGAGCTAAATACAGTTGATCTTCACCTGCTTCACAGCTCACTAGGGTACCCCTGCAGTTTACTCATAGTGCTAAGTAGGTTTGAGTTTCCTGAGGAAAGAGAGCTCTCAAAGAGCTTTTATTTTATTTTATAAAAAATACCCTCCCTGTGAGAGAAACCAGGAGTTTTTGCAATGAAGTACTGCCTCTGTTCAAAGCCAGGCAGCCCTGATCCAAATTCTGTTGCAGTATTTGGCACTGTGCAGACTTTGATACCTTTCTGGAAGATTAGGCATGTTACTGGACTTGCTCCAACTAAATTCACTGACGTGTATGTGTGTTGCTGGGTGAACTGGGTAATGAAGTTTTCTCTGGTTTTACTTCTGCACTTTGACAGCCTAAATCCTTGGATGGGATGAATAAACAAAACCAACACAATTTCAAGGTGGTTGAAAACAGTATGCTTTTTTGAAGAGAAAAAACATAGTAAAAGTTTTCATAAATGTTAAAGAGCGTGGGTAGTTTCCTCTCATGATTGTTGCTTTAGACAAGAGGTGGCTTTTTCTTTTCCTTTCTCTAGTCAAAAAACAAGCTTTTTTTTATCAGTGTTCCTCTGATCATAGTCTGTACTGTAAGACTTATGGCACTGGTGCTCTCCACACCTATGAGAAAGCTTTTGCCACAGATGAGCTGGTGTACATTTTCCAACACACCTCCCTCCTCTGTATAGAGACACTAACAACTAAACATCTTGGATTCTAGAAAGAATGTAAGCTTCAGTCTAAACCAACTGAAATGGGGCACTCTGACACCACTGTGTGGTCCTCATAATCTGTGTTATCCTGTAACATCTTGAGATGACCTTTTTGCACATACCTGATCCCTTCTTTGCCATTTAACTCCTTCTTAGTCAGATCCACTTCATTTCTGAAAGAGTTGTGACACCTCAGGACTGCCCAGGATCCAGGAGTTGTATCCTTCCTCTTGCATCCTGTCTTTCTAGAACCTCTGGAGCTCTTCTTTTTGGGACACTAATTTTGTCTTCATTAGAGTAACACTGTCAGTATCACAGCCCAGAGGCAGACTCATAAAGATCATACAGGGGTGAGATGCTTCTTTTTGTTTCTTAAGATGCTTCTTTTTCATTTGCTGTTGGCTTGACAAATACCCAATTTCCATTTGTTCAGAAAGCTGACCATTCTATCACTTGAAATGTTTTGGCTTCTCCTTCCAAATCAATTCAGTGAATACCATTCCTGACACTCTAGTCCTCTGTTATTCATTCAGACACTGTGACACCTCCAGCTCTGCAAGCATCATTTGACTTGCTATTTGTTTTTTATACTCTTAGTGCACACTTCCCTCTGCAGGAAAGTTGAAGTCAGTAGCAGCTGTAGCCTGTGGCAGCACTGTACAACCTGAAGTGTTAATTCCTACAGTTAAATCTACAGAAATGGGTACTTGATTATGGCCAGCTGCTCTTGTGTTATTGTCATGTTTTGAGTATTTCTCCATCAAGGTAATTCCAATGAGTTTCACAGATTTTCATTGGCTCTTGAGAGCAAATAAGTACCCTGCCAATATCCACACAGAATATTCTAGCTCTGGTCAAAACTGTTTATCAATATTAACCTCCTTGTGATGTTAGATGAGAGAGGCTGGGGGGAGGGAGAGAAAGAACACCTCTACGTCAGTAATACTCGGCCACAACTTTCTAAAGGAACTTGCCTTCCTGCCTGAATTGTAACATACAGACCTGCCTCAGTGAGCTGCAAGTTGCCATTCTGAATGCTCCTGGCTCTTGCACTGGAAGCTTCTATCACTGTCACAAAATAGTTGGCACAACCAGAAATTAAGTCCTGTACCTGAATGACTTGCCCTCCCCATCTAAAAATGGCAACATTCTGCCTATCCACCACCAGCGTAAAAGTACGGAGTATGATCACTAGAATTTGATCTGTAAAGACAGTACTGTACTCAAGGGGTATTGCTCTCTGTTATTCACCTCTTTCAAGTCTAAAACTTTATCTGCTACCTTAGCTAAAAGCATCACTGCATTGTCAAATTGTGAGACTAGAACTGAGACAGTCTGCAAAAACAAGATAGTTCTTCTTGAAAATATACAGGTGCCCTCACGCTTCTTGAAATTTCACCCACCTCTGAGCAATACATAAGATATTCTTCCAATTCTATGCATGTATTTGCACTTGAGAGTCCTAAAAATTCTACCTGCTTCGTCAGTGGTTGTTCAATTATTCTGTGTGTTGCTTACATTTTTGTAGACAGAAAAGCCTCTGTACAAGACAAGGACAAAACTAGTAACAATTAAGCCCTTCTGCATGAAGGTCAAAGCTGTGTCAGTTGGATGGAACGCCATTTAAGCAAAAACTAAGCTGCTACTGAAATATACTTGAATAATTTTTGCCAAATAATGGCTCTCCATTGCAGTTTTGCAGTAGCCTATGCCTGTATGGCCATGTAGTTTTGGAAAAGGCCAGCTCTCACTGTATGTGCCAGGCACCATTCCTGATACCCTGCTGGCATCTTTATGGCTTGAGTGCTCCTTTCACAAGGTGATGTAGGCTCTGCCACCTGCAGATGTTACGGGTTTTAATTACTTTAATAGCAGTGTAAGCAGGTCACGCTGTAGTGGAAATGCCAAGTCACAGTGTGAAGCAGTGATCGAGCACTGGTGGGAAGGCAGGGCCAACCCATGGCAGCTCAGGTGCATGCAGTGCACGTGAGTGACTGGAAGGGGTGAAGGATGCTCTAAATGACTACTCTAAATTTTGTCTTGGCACTTTTGGCCTACTAGGGTTCTAATTGCAGGACACTTGCAGCTACCGCTGCTAAACCATCATTTGTTTTTCTTCCCTCTCCTGTTAAGCTGAAGAACAAACAGCTTGAGGAGATGTTTACCTGGTCATTATTGTTATGAACAGCAGCTGTATGAAACAAATCAGAGAAAAATGATACTTGTAAAACAACTGACTTCTTGAGTGCTGTTTTTACCTTAACATTTTTAACCTAATGATCACCAGCTGCCTTGCTTTTTCATACCATTTTCTATTTGAAATAATGTTGTATGAGTTTAGCAATTCCCATCATTGGACAGTACACTGGCTGCTGGTGACAAATGGCCTTAGTTTTCCCCATCCTAACAAAAAAAAAACAAACAAGGGTTGGGAGACTTCGGCTGCCCACAACCCAGTTGCTGCCCAGCACTGGCTTAACCACCTGTCATCAATGCCACAAGGCTGTAATAATGCTTTTTAAAAGCAAACAGAAGAAAAAAGTAAGATTAAGGATCAGTCTTTCTTACACAGGGCAAGTTTTTAAATGAAGTGAGCTTAGTACGAATCACATGCACACAACTTTGTTCTAAATGACCTCTACTTCCACAGGGCCTTTATTTGCTACAGCAAGCTTAAAGCAGGATGCTTCTATTATGGTTATGTGTATAAATATGCACAGCTCTGCTTTTGGTCACAATTCTTTCAGAAGCAATACATGGGATTTTACAAAAGGCTAATAGTCTCTGGTGAGACTTTTATAAATATGGAAAATACACTCATGTTTTTAACACTAATTATGGAGACTGTTAGTGATGTACTCTAAACTTCCAAAAAATGCTGAATGACAGCAACCAAGTGCTGCTGCTGCTTCAGCTGCTTTTCTTACAGCTTTGTTCTGATCTGGAAAACAAAGACCAAACAATGACTTGTGGCTGAAGGCTGTGCATGGCTCACATCTTCCCAGTTCTTGTTCCACTGACGCATTTGGTCATGCTTGTGTACAGTCAAACTTACAAGAAATACTTCAAATAATTGTGAAGGTACCTGTCCACACTAGTAATGATGGGAATTCCTGGCTTGCAGCAAACTTGATGGTTTTTTTTTTTTTTTTTTTTTTTGGCACCATAATCCTTCAAAATATGGGGCAAGTTACAATCCAAACAGCCCGAGGCTTCCTGCAGTACTGGCTAGCCCTTCACCCCCACCAGCCACAGACAATACCCAAATGAATATGCAGCTTCACTTTATTTGGGACAGAGCTCCCTTAATTAGCCAATAGCGCCATGTACACCCAAACTTCTATAAGAAGGAGAGAACACTGTTTTATCAAGATCTTCTTGCACCTGTATTTTCGAGGTGTCTTTAAAGATGCCTATTTGAAAACCTTGCAATAAAAACATGGAACTCAGAGCAGACCAAAAGAAAGCTCACTGCAGCAGTCTGCAAACTGCAGTACTCAGGCTGAATGGCACAAGGACTTGGAAATTAGTTCTCCCATTCCTATCAGCATAATGCTGAGTTATTTTACCCAAACACCGTTGGTTTTATTTTTTCTTTGTCTTGGTCTCAGGGGATTTAAATATGAAATAAAGCAAGCCTCCTCTTTCTTCCTCCCACATGAGCTTCATAGGAAACATTAAGCCACCGAATTCAACTTCATGTTCAGCAAAGCACTTCAAACTGGAGCCTCTGGCCAAAGCTTCAACTACAAAAAGCAAAGTGAATGCTACAGAGTCAGTTTGCAAATGTACTACATGTAAAATTCTAGTATTCAAGTACACACACCAAATGCTAACAGCATGAATTTAATGTCCAAATTCAAATGAAGAAGTAAAACACAGTATTAAACATTAAAATTCACAACGCTTGTAACAACTATGTAGCTATCATTAAATATAAATAACATTTAGGTAGATCAAAAAAGGCAATATATTGATGAAACATCCAACTGTAATGTTTGACTGCATTAAGAAAAGTTATTCAACTTAAAGCACTCAATTGCATTGTTTTCTATCTACTTTTTTCCTCCAACCAGCTTTCCAAGTTTAAAAAAAAAGCTTACAACATTACTTGTACAGGTCGTGTCATTATATCCTTAGTCTTGATCAGGAGCTGAAAGCATTTACCCAGTTTTAAAGGAGACAGATCCACTTTTGAAACAAAGTAAAAGAAACAAAATTAATGACATCTCTTTAGAAGGAAACGTTTGTAGGAAATGTTCTTCCTATAAAATGTGTGCTTTTACAGAAGCAAATCTTTGTGTGGTATTTCATACTACAGCCACTAACAGAAATATCAGGAGTTGTTTTTGCTTGAAAAGGCAGCACTGGCAGCATTGGCTTTTAAATGTGTACTTAAGATTACTTGCAACACAATCTTAAAAAATACTCTGACTGAAATTCATAATACAAGGGGGCAGGAGTCATACTAAACTATTTCAACACTAAAAAGAGGCTACTGTTGTAGAAACTACTACAGGTAATGAAATCTTTTAAGCAATTACCTTTAAAACAAATTTAATCTAAGTAAAACAATTTTTTAACATTGAATTGCACTCATCTTCCAAAGTTTAAAACACGTCCTTTTGAAAAATCCTTCAGCAGGTAACACGAGATCTGAATTTCCAGTAATCACGCAGCAGTGTGGTATTCTTCCTTTCGTGGCAAGATTCAAAGTAACAACTACCAAATTTTTCAACTGCTCAACTTCAGGGCAATTCAAGCTGAGTTAGGTGTACAGCTGTCTGCAGAAGAGGAAAAAAGAGGGGGGGAGGAGAAGAAAAAGAGACAATTTCAGCACGCATACTGCATTACCTATTCAAAGATGGACTTAAGATAAGGATGTAACAAAGCATTTGATGCCTCATCCCACTGCTGCATTCTTTCCTCTGCCCCCCAAGACCAATTGAAATCCTTAAGTAAGGTTTTCAGTCAACAGTTTAAGCAACATCAGATAGGACCTCACAGAAAACAGAATTATAAATTGAGAGCTTATTTTCAGTTTCTTTTTCCCTTTCATTACGTAAGTTTCTAGCAAGCTTACTCCTGAAATAAAGTTCTTTGGTCCCGAAGACTTTCTCAGACTCTATCTTTAACAAACAAGCTTTAAAACAGTGACCCTTTGCTTCACCTTCCCTGAAAGCAACATATTAATGAAGACTATTTTAATATGTATATTAGATCCTTGTTTTACTACAGTTTAATTTGTTACATCTAACAGTCCGAGCAGCAGCCTTTCATATTAAGCCTTTTGACTGAGGTGTACATTTGCTACTAAGAACCAAGTTCTGCCAGACGTGCTTCGTAAACTGCCTTCAACACAATCAACTGACCAGAAAAGGGCACTAAACCCACTTCTAGTTTGAAGTGACTGACTCAATTCACTCAGCTTATTTTACATACACACATGGCCCAACCTCGTTCTGTCTTTCCTTTTCTTCAAGTTCTCCTACCTACCACAGGCTCAGATTTAAAAGTTTGCATTCCCTGACTGCAAGCAGCAGGACCAGAAAAACGATCTGATCTTCAGGACAAATCCTGGGTGAGTAAGATTAGAAGCTTCCAGCAGCAAAGTTAACATTAAGCACTGATTTAGCACTCCCTTGTAAGCTTTTAAGTCCAGTCCCATGACACTAAAACAGTAATCTCCATTTTAAAAATGAAAGAGGCCTCAGCAGTGACAGATATCCACACTTACTGAAATTCATTACTTAAATTTCTGCAAATCAGGGAAGGAAGGCAGTATTTCTTTTAGGTGGAACTGGCTGCCCCGGGAAATAGTCCAAATAGCACTGCAATCAAACTCCAGTTCTTAATATAAATCTGAACTTGGAAGCTGGAACACTGAGTGATTCCAGGTATATAAAACATAATTCCTTTTTTGCCTGTATACATCACGACAATTGACATCATCAGGTGGGTCTATTTTAAAATAATGTAGTATCTATATACCCATAAAATAATACCCATGCAATTGCATGAACCAAACAGAAGCACGATTTCACAGACAGCATACTAGAAAGATCTGCTCCATTTCCATACTGGAAAACATACTGCTCCATTTCTGAGGGAAACTTCTGGTAAAAGCTTGTGAACAGCAGCAAGGCGTCAGGCAGCGTCGAGAGACCAATTTGAAGTGAGATTCAAAAACAATGGAAGACAATCTCATCACTTCTTCTACAGCACTCAATTTTCTTCCTGTTCTGTTCCCTTCTCTTCTCTGCACCATGGAACAGTGAGGTGTCCCCTTCTGGAGCTTCAGCACATGGCCACGCTCCACTTCTTCCCTTCTCTCAACTGCACACCTACACTCATCATTTCCTCATATTTCAACAAACCCGATTTTTTGTTTTTAAACTTTCTTCCTCTGTTCATCTTTCAGTGAAACTCGAAGTCTGTGTTTTACTCGGGTCATTTTCAAAATATCCAGGTGACACCAAGTGGAAGCTTGTTGTACTGCTGTCTGTTCAGGACTACTGTATATGGCAATAAGGAAATACAGTTACTTCAAAACACAAATCCCTTTTTAAAAACAGTGCTTTGCACTAGGTACAGGAGATCACTCATGTAATTAGTGGAAGAATATCCAGATTTTAGGTATCTTGTAACAGTGGTGATTAAAAAAAACCTGCTGTTTTACCTTACAGCAGAGTAAGAAGAGTTCAATACATACTTCTAATTTTTTTAAGCTTGTTTTCATTCTAGATTTGCCCACAGCTGTGAATAGTCATTCTCAGACCAACAGCCCCCTGTAGTTGTTCCTGAGATTCTTTCCCAGCTGAGTACAGGAGAGAAAAATCAGTTTGTAAGAGTAACTGTAAGCCAAGATGGGTAGATATGCATGGCCGAGCACAGAATGTGAAGCTGCCACTGCTCTCGTTTAAAGAACAAGCTAAGCTCTCATCCCTATTTCCAGTTTAAAAATCTTCTTGCATTTGGGGTTACACAGGTTATAAAAGGTACAACTCTAAAAAGAAACAGGCACTAATGTTCACAAAACCTGGTGCAGCTTTTATAAAAACTCATAAATAAAATTTTAATGCTTTGTTATTAAAAATATATAATTCTCTTCACGTTGACCATCAGCCTCTTGGAGGTGACCAATTCATGCAAACTGAACACACTGCTGCTGAAGTGAAGACAGTGCATTAGGCTTTGGGTTTCAGAGATTCCTTCTCTTCTAAGACCTTTTGGGCATGCAAAATCAAAGACAATGAGAAACAGGATTCTACACACTAAGAAAAGGATTGCTTTCATTTCACAGTCAAGTCTAAATTAAGTCTGCTACAAACTGCATTTAAAACAAACAAACAAACAAACAAAAAAAACACCATAAAAAAAAATTCACTGCAGCACAAAGAAAATTCCAGAATAATTGCTTAGTGATAGTATTAGGAAGAGTATCAACACTATCCTAACATTTTGCTATCCAGCAGTAGCTTTTCCAACCCACTAAACAGGAGAGAAGAGGGGAAAAAATTGAGAGCGCAAGCAGGGGAGAGGAGAGGAATATAGCAGGTATGGCTCTTCAACAACCTTCAGATCTGTTTACCTGAGCTCTTAAATTCTGGTTTCTTCTAGAATGAAGCTTGATCAAATGAAGACTACAACCACTAATACCTAGAAATCAGTTCTGTGTTTTGGATGCTTCAGTATTACAGAAGAACTGAAAAATACCGAGCAGGAACTAGATGTCAAATGGAACATCTTACCTTATTCATTGCTACGGAGCAGCAGCAGTAACGTACTGACAGCAATTTAGTGATCACTTTCTCAGTTATGAAAAGCTTTTATCACAGGAGCTTATAATATCAAAAATGTCTTCTTATAGTAGGCACATCGACTTTAAGATAATAAATGTGAGCGAAGATATCCAAAAATAGATGCAGAGAACAATTTTAACTCTCCTAGCTTTGGTTCTTAGGAACTACTCAAAAGCACTTATGCTTACCTAGATGCAGAAGTGCCATCTGCGCTGCCAATTCCCTCGCATCTTCTAGTGTGGTACAGAGTTTGTGTGACATGAAGCAGCTCTGCGAACCATCTGCAATACTCGGAAGAAGCACCTTGCACACCAAATGGATTTTCCCATCCTGACTTGTGGTTGAGTACAAGTAGTATTCTGGTGGTAACCAGTTATTTTTGTAGCAAAAGTAATCCAGACGCATCACAGCAGAACTGAAGTAACTGGATTTTAGAGAATACATGCTAATTGGAATAAGCTTTACTCCTGGAAGAAATGGGTATGGATACCATTCAAGTTCAGGAGAGCTCGGACTGTGCTGACCATTAAGGCTGAGAGAAAGACTTGCAGGTTTCTCTACGGATTTTTGGTGACTGTCTTCTCTGCTAGGAATTTCCATGAGATTCTCAGAACAGGGGCTTACATGACCATTAAGATGTTGCTTCCAAGTACTTTCTTTGTTAACTGGCTTTGCCAGAGTTACTTCAATGCTGGCTCCATCAATGCACTTTCCATTCATCACAGACATGGCAGCAACTGCATCCTCTCGGTTGTAGAAATGCACAAACGCATAGTCTCTCAACTTCTTTACACGTTCAACTACTCGTGGCTTGAACTTGTTGAATTCAGCTTTAATTGTGTCCTCCGTAGTAGAAATCATTAAGTTTCTTACATACAATACTTTAACTCTCCGCATTGTTTCTGCATCAACTTCTTTCTCTGGGCATGCCCAATCGACTTGAACTGCACGACCCCAGAGCTGGAACGTTCCTACAGCAAAGAAGGATAACATCAGTAAAAAAAGATGAAAACAACAATCATTCTTATACACTAGCTTTAGAAAAAGCAAACAAATATGATGTGTAACACGTGGAACAGCAGCGTTTGTTGTCTGCTTGTACTTAAGCAAAATGTGTCAGACTACTACCCGAAACAATGAACGAAGTAAGTGGCAAAATGCAACCTTACAACCCTATGTGTGGACGGGAGTCACGCTGCCCAGTTTCCTTTTTAACTGCACCTTTACCCATTCCCTCCTCTTTCAATACTTTCAATCCCTTCTACTTCCCATTCCACAAATAAGCCCCTTCCAAAACGATACGCTTAAAATGGTTTTCTAAAAAGGGGCTCACACCCCTTCACCTCTACTCCCCAAAAACACCGTCCTCCAAAACTTTTCTTGAACACAGATTTACCTGGGAGTAGCCTCCTTCTAGCCATTGCAGCTGCTCTGTGGGACTCGTATTCTACAAAAGCAAATCCACGATTTTTAGTTCTGTCTGTGGCATCTGGACAAACAATGACATCCACCACTCCTTCTGTAATTCTTTTCATTTCTTTTAGTATTTCTTCTTTCTTCTTTTCTCTTGGAATTGCTCCGATAAATAGTCTGCAGTTGTCCAAGCTTATGCAGACACCAATAAATCTCCCTGGACGAATTTCATAATTATTAAGAATCTTGATGGCTAGCTGGGCATCCTCTTTAGTGGTGTACATCACAAAAGCAAAGCCTCGATTCTCACCACTGAATTCCATCATCAGCCTGAGCTCATAGATCTTTCCAGCTCTCTCGAAAAGAGGGACCAATTCATCTTCATAAATGTTACGAGGGATCTTACCCACAAAAACTTCACACCCACGAGGTGGTGGAGGACCTTTCCAACCTTAAAAAGTTCAGCAAAAAAAATCTTAGGACAAGCATCACAGTCGCACCTCCACATAACACACTCTGGCTATCAGTTGTTGGTTTTTAACTGCTGTATTTGTATCTTTTTAGATTTTGAAAGCTTAAATACTAATTGTGCTAACAGAATCTTTAACATTCATCTGCTTCTTTCCTTTGAACTTGTATGACAAGCCACTGAAACCAGCATTACTTAAAACAGTGTTTTAAATTGCAACAGGTCAGTTGCAAGAGTCTGCATTTAAATCATTTTTTACTTCTCAAAATTGCCTGATACATATTAATACATCAAATATAATTGCTAGAGAGAGAACTTGCTGTATTTTCTACTTGTAACATTTGGAGTTACAAACATTTACCTGCACTTCTTGCCCATTTTTTAGGAAGTTTTAGTCAGAGTCCCCAGTGCCTCTATTTTTTTTCCCCCAGTGCCATTCAAAAGGTCTGAACATTTTGGTTCCACCTTCTCCGTTCATCCACTATAAAAAGACACCCTACGAAGGTACAATATGGGACAATCTTTTTTTTTTCAGTGGCCAAAAAACATGGGCATTTTTCCTCTTAAAAAGAGATCAGTTTTCACAGGTTGGAGCCATATTCTCCAGGAAAAAAAGTAATAATACAAAGTTCCACAGAACAGATCCATGCTTCTGGCCCTTCTGGTCCTCAAGGATATGCCTGAAAATATGTGTATAGTCCTTAATTTACATCTCTGCCATACGCACTGATAGACATGTTCAATAATGCCATCCTAAACTAGAAATAAAGCACAAATTCAGCATGAAAGATTACAACTATTTTAATAAGTTAAGGGTAGAAGTAGATAAACCCACCTTCCAGAGCTCTCAAGACCAAAAATAAAAAAGCCATCAGGTTCAACAGAGAAGTAGTGGACCAGAAAGCACATTCCTGACATACAAAGAAATACAGCATAGCTATCCTTACAGAAAACATACTTCAATTTTATTACCTCAAAAAAATGCTTACCTGGTGGAGGCCCACCAAATTTTCTTTGCCCATTTTCTTGAATCATGGTGTACCCAGTCTTGTCTAGTAGGGCCAGTAAGGCAGCAGCCTGATTACCACCTCTCATTTTGCCAGATTCACTTGTTGCAGCTGAATTCTCCTCATTCATGTCTGCAATAGCTTCAATAGAACATTATGGATATTTCAACTCAGATACTTAAAAGCTGCTGTTTAGATACAGAAGCCACAGGGGCACAGAAACACGCACCATAGTTGGCTATTTCCTGTAGTTAAGGATAGAAGTAGATAAACCCACCTTCCAGAGCTCTCAAGATCAAAAATAAAAAA